AGCATATTGTATATTCACTATTATTTTACATGAGAGATATAAATAACTCAAAGATATTTCGAAACGTTCCTTAAAATTAGGAGGGCGTTATGTACACAAAGGAAGAAAGAAGGAAAAGGAAAAAAAGAACAGGAACAATAAACATGAACGAACATGACCCCCTCCCGGTGTAATTTCACCCACAGTAGCGCGATGGATCGCGCGATCGCGAAGTCTGAACGCGCTCTACTGATCCGCCCCTCCTCTCCACCAGCTTGAACGGCAGGGCACGCCATCGCGTTGTGATCATTTCCTGAAAATACGACCCCCCTAATTCTATCCTCAAATACGACCCCCCTCCCCATGCTACCTACCACTTTCCTAGATTTTCCCAACTTCCTACCACTTTTTCCCGAAAAATTTCTAGTTTTTCAGCCAAGAATTTCCCGTCGAGCGGGGGAGGGGGTAAATACCCAATATGAACACAAGAAATTTCTTAGATTTCTCCTAACCTCCCACCAGTTTTTTCAAAACTTCCTTCTGGTTTTTCCCCAAAATTCTGCTTTCGAGTTGGGGGGGGGAGAGAGTCGTCAACTTAACTATCATTTTCAACTATCGGAAATAGTAGTTGTATAAATGTCTGGCAAGATCTCCCTCCCTAAACAACAGCTAAATACGACCCCTCCCCTCCCTCTCTCAACAACGGCCAAATACGACCCCCCCCCTTTATAGCCGTCCGTGAAACAAGAGAAATCAACTACCAAAAAATTTTTCTCAGCCAAATACGACCCCCCCCACTCCCTCGCGATCAAGTACGACACCCCGTTGTGATCATCACAACGATGGCGTGCCCTGCTTGAAGGAGGGCACACCAATGAGAAAGGCACATTGGTCCAAAGAGTGAAGCTCGCAGAAATAAAGTCTATCATCATGAAAACTGAGTGGCCAGCGAGTTTGTTCAAATTCTAGCATGATGAGGATATTTTTCCATAAAAACTTACAAGCAAAGATCAAGTCTCACCTGTACCACATTGAAAGCTCCTTCTGTTAAACCAGCTAACTGTAATACTTGGGCCAAAATCACAGCAGAAATCGGAGCTAATGGACTTGGCTTGTAAACGACAGCGTTACCACATGCCAAGTGCTGGTGCCACTTTCCATGAGCATGTCTGGATCGGGTAATTCCACGTACCTTAACCGTAAACAAATAAGGTGCATGTAAAAAAGTCATCAAAATCTGACAGGATTGACCAGTTTTACGACTGCGCAACACTGCGGGGAGTTGGTAAGGCTTGCAGCACGACTCTCCCAAAAAGGAAGGTTTGGTACAATCTATCACAACCTTCCACACTCCTGCCAATTTTTCCCAAACATTCCCATGGAATTTGCGAGAGGGGTGCGCAAGGGAGGGAGAGGCGGAGGGAGAGGTGGAGTACAACTACGATAAACTACCAGAGGAAAATAATAGTCTATACGATGCTAAGAAGCGCAGTTTGATCCAAAAATTACCCTTCTCAAACGTATGTGGAGTCCAAGTGTGCCGATATTTGTGAATTAGTCATGGAAAACAAGAAAACAGAAAAATGGCGAAGGGAAGTTGAGGGCAGCCATAAGGCGAATGATACTAGGCCCATTCTGTTCGTCTGCGTTCTCCAATGCTGAACCTTTCAAGTAGAGACAGCAGACGAGCTAAAGGCGCTGAGCTGTCGTGTCGCCACCTGATCCCCCTTATTTAGCTTAGTCAAAACTTTAGATAGGCACTAACCTATGCATCCTACAACACCTAACGGTTCCCTTTTCGTATAAGCAAACCGATCCTGACCCAAAGGAATATGCTGGCCTGCTAATGATTGACCTAAAAAAGTATCAATTACATAAAAGAAATCTTTAAAAATGAAAGAAAAGATGTAAATCAGTTCCTAACCGATTCCTCCATAGTAGTTAAACGTATCTACACAACTAAGTACGTCCAGCCGTGCTTCAGTAATCGGTTTTCCGCTGCCAATGCATTCCCACCTTGCAATTTCTTCACAGTTCTTCCATAATAGCTATAATATAACAGGCTGTGAGCACACCAACAATTATAAGCATGAACATTACCTTTGCGACCTTCCTCAGTACTAAACCTCTTTCAAGCCATCCCATTTTGGACCAAATTGGGAAGGCTTTCTGTGCTGTATCGACAGCTCGGGCAACTTCATCCGGTGTCGCCGCATGACATTCACTTAGCGTGGATCCTAGAAATTGAATTAAATGAAGATTTATTCAATGATTTTTCAAGGAGCAGTCCTCGCTGCAGAGCAATCGAAATGGTCGGACTAGTGGTCTCTTCCATGAGAACTCCCTTTATCCGTTCTACCAGATGCGGCCCCAGCGATCACGTTAGACCCCCAGCAGACAGCTTGCACACTAACGAGTCCTCTGTCACTAATTGTACTTCACGCCCCTCTTGTGATAACTAAGGTCAGATCTTCAACAAAATTTACCCGCGAGGAGAGATTGGGCTGGGCTTTTGTCGAGGTAATTCAACTCCTTGCTGACGCCTACGAGGCGGCCGCCAGCTGTTTTCGGGCCACAAGGAAGCGATTCATATTTCTATTCAGGGGAACCCGAGGACGAATTTCTCGAGAAATCAAACTAGGCACAGATCTGAGGAAGACGTAGCGCTCAGATCTCGAAACCCAAGGAAATAAGCGGTAAACAATTGGTATCGTTTACTTAATCGACGATTTATATGATTCATGTCTCCATGGTTGGTAAATGGGGGAAGAGTCCTGAGCGGACAATACTCCTGGGCTGGGAAGGGGACACGCAACGGTGTGACTAAACCTGCTCATCTGCACCCTCCCACCAGAACAGTGATCCTCTTTTTCAACAACTGCTACCAGACCACTTGACTTTTTCGCACGGTCCTGACGCAAGATATTTAGCTCTGGCAGCTATAATACAGCAGCTCTCAAAGTATCAAATGGTGCGAAAGAACAAGTGGTGAGCCAGGGGGAGGCCTGTCAGAGGGGCTCACCTGGTGGGGGGGGGGGTGGGGTGAGCCATTTATAGTCGTTATCACTAAAGTCAACGAAGTCGGGGCATGTCAGCGCCGCGTGGGTCTTGAGGGCGGCGCCAGCCTTACCCACCATCATCGAACAACCGAAGTCGCACTGCAAAACTTGCTGGCGCAACGCCAGACGCATATCCGCTGGCACGGGGCGGCCAGTAAGGTGGACCTTTTGTTCGCCTTATGTGATAACGACTGTACGTGAAAAGAACCTTTCAACGCATGAGTGTGTCTTTGCCAAATCAAGGCTCAAGCCTAATTGAGACTTGTCTTCTCTGCAAGGCAACGCCTCGGCGACTTTGGTGATCGGCGCTTTAACCATAACTCTTGGTTAGAGGAAAGAACACAGAGCCATGGTCGAATTGCGTTGGCGCTAACATTCAAAGGCCACGATAAGTAGTCGGTTCACTCATCCGAGGATAATTCTCAAATATGAGGCGAAAATCCTCACGACTTTCTGGTACACAATCATTTCTTGGACATAATAACTTTGGTGGGCTTTCAAAGGAATCTTAAAGCGAACTTAAATTACCCTAAAGCTAAGGTGGACCTTTTGTCTAAGCCGCGAGGAGAAGGAGCTCACGGCGGGTGATTCACTTTCGAGGGCCATAAGTTCGGATGAAGCTGGTCCCAGTTTTGCACAAGGAATCCTTTGAGTGCCCATCCCAAGGTTGTCATCACCCCTAATTATCACGCTATGCTATCACGTTCTTACTATACCAAACCGGTCCACCTCTCCCAATAGCTTCGAAATCGTAACTATTCGAGTCAAAAGTTAAGGATCTCACCACTTCTTGGTTCGATGACGTCGAACTTCTTTCCAGTAGTCAAGTTCACTGCAGCTCCACCAATATAGTGCAGTGCGCTGGTAATGTCCTTACAGTTCAACATCTGCTTCTGAAGATGCCTGGACAGCCTCATCTGCAGTAGCGTTGACCTACGAAGTGATGCCGGATGAGAACCTCGTTTATCTTGAGGAATTTCAAGTCCTCTTTCTTCATAGTACTTCTGCCAATACTCTATGAAATCACCATTTTCATCTTTAAAATTCAACTTGTGCTCAGGGAACTCTATGAGCCCATTGTAGGCTTCTGTGATGAGCTGACTACAGTAATACGACTCCTTTCCATCAGAGTTTATCATATCCGGACTGAATATGTCATTGTAGGGCATGCCAACTTTTGACTCAGCGAATGCAGCCGCTTTGTGCTTGGTTTTCTCAGTCGCGTCAACGTGCACGATTTCCATGCGATGCGGTCGAAATTCGGCCACGAACTCGTCCACCGTCTGGCAGTCAACGCCGCGCGGCGTCGCGTGCACGACTCGTCGGTCCCGTCCGATTATCCCTACATGATAGTATGGCGACGAAGCGACGTCGCTTACCGCTTGTTCAAACAGACATGCGGTCGACTCTTTGGCCAAGAAGACCAAATCTCCAGGATTGGCCCGGCTTAGTTCCAAGTCATTCATCTGAAACAATGGGAGATATTGTAGGTATTTTTACCCCTTTGACGGACGAGAAAAAGCTGTATTAGAAATATTCATCGCCTTGGACAGGATATGAACACAATTCAAGAAATTGAAGCGAGAGAGAACATACCGGATTTGAATTCATTACATGGTAAAAAAAAGTAGGGGAGGAGGGGAGGGGGCAACTCTTCTAGTCTACGTAATCAATTTGGTTTCTCACTAAATTCAGCAGCCGTATCCCCCTAATGAACATCTTTAAACGGTCTAGATGGTTGCGTACTCAGGTATTATAGAGCTCTCTGCCAAGTGAGCCACTCATTTCTCAGTCCAGTCCTTTCGGCCAATAAGAGTAGGCCTGGGTAAATGACAACTAATCACAGCGCGCACAGACATTCAGAGGCACCATGTAAAACTGACTGCAAAATCGACGGGTCAAATATCTGATACTGTAAAGGATATCATTAACATAACTAGAACTCAGTAAACATCACAGAATGAACATATTAAGGTAAGAATAACTATAACTTTCAAATTTCAGAATGGTAAAGCTATGAGTGCGATTGGAAGACAATTTTCAACACAGAAGTATTCGAGCGTATGAACCGGGAGAAAGAGCAAAGCTATAAAAAAATCAACGGCGATTATCTATTATCTCCCAACCAAAAGGGCATTACAACCACCCAGAAAAAGTGCACGCTTCGGGACATCTTTCAAGCCAAAAATCGATAATCTCATGAGTTCCCGTACATATCTGTCCATAGCATCTTATATACAAATCTGATGGTTAGTCTGGATCAATAACTAAAACCGGATAATAATCACAACCTTTTCTATTACTGCTAATATTACGTCTCTAGTTTGGTAAATGACCGCTAGAGTACCCCATAAATCTCCTAAGGCTGGCACAGAGGGACACACCGAAGAGACTAGTATATACCAAATCAGAAACCAGTGCCAAATCACAGGGTAAGGGCTAAGGGACAAGCTAAAATAACCAATATACAAGACATAAAAAAATCGAGTCGCGATATGAAAATAACATTTAAAACCAATCTCAGTCGAACATATCATGGCAATGTCATCGTGAACTCTTCGAAGGGTCAATAATGACGACCCGTGGTGATGACTGATGTTGGCTACCGGTGTCAGAGACCGTGGTAGTGGCAGCTACTGTGGGACTGCTGCTGGGCGATTCAGTGGACGTATCGTCGCGGGCGGAACCAATGTCTCTCTCGTCGATGACCTTTTTAAGCATTCGTTCGATGCTCTTCGGTAGATGGTCAGTCAAGGCTGACGCCGTCAATTTCACGTCTGTCAGGCATCTGAAATTCATAAAAAACATCTTCTAAAGAACGATCACATGGTTGACCCATAAAGATATGAGTCTTAGTAGGCAATCGAGGTCATTCCGCCAGCAAGGTCGGCCACTGTATCAGGCGCCGTGAAGTTTTTTTCCCATGTACTATTGGCTAAAATAAGGCATCGGTTACAAAAACAAAAAGCAACGGCCTACCAGGCATCGATACCCCGCCAGTCACTGAAAAAGACGGTATGCCAAGAAAAGTTCAGGATAATCAAAATGAAAAAGGGCAAAAGAAATATTGGAAATCCAACTTTCAATGGTCAGATTTTCAGCACTAGTAATACAAACGTCCAGCAACAATATAAGATGACAAACATTTTGCCATCTCGGTCTCCCAAGGCAGATACGAACTTTTCGAGGACTAACGTTTTCGCATAAGTCGCCTCTGATGGGAATCTGGCTCTATTGGACAGTTAGATAGTCGAGAGTCCGTGAAAGGATTAACAGGAAGATGCATAGGAGGAACTTTTGAGGGGAAGTCGTATTTTCGTACAATTTTCCCCAACGGCGGGTTGTGCTCTGATTGTCCACCTGTTCTCATTTGGCCGAGCAAAAATAATTCTCACACTTGCTATGTGACATGATATCACATAAAAGACCTAGTCCTAATGCCATCGTTAAACTACACCTAACTGGCGTAGGCAGTTGGGTACAGTCTTACGATGGATTAGGACTATCACGATTGTAAGGGCTCAATCATCATCAGTAGTCAGACCGTAGACCGGGAGGAATGTGTTCTGGAGCTGGCTTACTGTAAACAAGGGCCAACAGGCTGAACAATAACTCACTTAGGATCAATCCATTGACTCGATACTCCATTCTCCAACTCGTCAATGCCTCGGCAATGTACAACAACTTTCCTGGCGCGAACAGCTGAAAAGCTCCGTTTAGCTAAACGAGGCAATAATTTTCAAGTGATTGGGTGAAAAGAATGATTCACTATGGGACGAGCAACGGGCGCTTTCCAACTAGTAGTGAGAGTAGGAAATCTGTGGCACAGAAAAGAAGTGGTACGCCAAAGGAACAACAAACTCTCCAATAACTGAGTGTTTGGTCCTTGAATATTAATCAAAATGTACGATATCAATGACATATTCCGCGATGAGCAGGCGGGCGAGCGAGCCATAAATAACGCTCTTTTTCAGGTGCTTTTGACTTCTAGATCTGGTCTTAAGGTAGTATATGATGAGAGAGCACAATGTTCATATTTGTCTACGGCCCATTCTGGCTGGTAGCCGGGGATAATGTTCATAAGGTGAAATTGACGCGACAATAGGAAAAGACGAATGCAATTTCACAACCCTTGAGGCCGCAGTCTGCTCATACGTTTAATCGTCCTCCCCGGCCCTGCCAGTACACGAAATACGAGATCTAGCTGGCAAGGCCACTTTCCATCGAACATATCGCCTCATTTAGAGACTCTTCTACTTCTATTCGATATTAAAGTATCCAAGGATAAAGGATAAAGTCTTCGCCGTTGATCAATCCCTTTGTGGGATGCGGCACGCATTCTACTTCCATTCAGAATCGTAGTGGCTTATTGAATGCGATGTGGCCTATACAATGACTTGCGGTGGCCAGCCGATGTACAAGTCAGTGTTTTATCCTCCCAGACGAATCTGGTACCAATTTACCGTCCCCGGGGGTAGAAGGCTTGGTTGGCCTGGGCGGGTGTCGACCCGGGATTCGAACCCGGCGCCGCGCGAGTGGTAAGCGCGCCACTTGTCACTACACCACCTCCGCCTCAAGTATCCAGATAAATTGTTAAAATACCACATGAAATATTCCCAGAAAATACTTCTTTCGTTTTATTTTTGCTTTTGCATTTCCCTGAAAATCGTTTCGTATCATTGCACTTTGGCTGCACTTTGGCTGTCCTTGAAACCTACTGGTCAGAGATGAACATTGATCGCTGCGTTATCACAAATTTTAATAGCACAATCTTATCAGATGTAAAACAATGAAAAAACGCAACGATACATTCCTGACAGGGGTCTGGGTTTCTGCTGACCAATCGTGGATAGGGCAATACCTTTGCGATATTGAACAGCTCAGAAGCAAGCAACACATGTGACACATATATTGAGCTTTATACGACCATTGCGCAAATATCCCTCTCTGACATGACCCCCCCCCCCTTCTTTCCCATCCCACTATTTCTTCCCACTTTTTCATTACAATTTTTTAGTTTTCTGCCGGAAAGTTGCCGTTGAGCGGACGGCAGTGGGCAGGGGAAGAATGTAGTATATCACACGTGAATCGGGAAGAACCAGAGTCAACAACTGGAGAAAATTTTTGCCACTCGGGGAATTTCTTTCAACGAAACCCTTCCCCTCCCACCTCTCCCAACGACGAGCAAGTAAGCCCTTTCCCCTCCATAGGGATTCTCCGAACGATGTAGACAGCGCACGTGGAACAGGAAGTATAACCAAAAACCGAGAAAAACCTAATCGAAAAAATTTCTCAGGCCAAACACGACCCCTCCCTCTGTCGACCAGTTATGACTCCCACTAGGTTTCCCCAACGTACGATGTGCCCTGATTCTAACGTATCCCTTTGCCGGTCGGATTAAGTAGATGACCCTAATATCGACCTATAACCAAACATTCCCTACATAAGGGTCTCGATTACATCTACATCCT